AGCGGGAAGGACGCGGGACACAGCAGGCATTTCCCACCTACAGTACTCACTTAAACTCTTCCAGGGAGGGAAATCACCGAGACAAGCCAACCGGAAAAGAAGGCGGGAAACGGAGAGGAAGACGCCCCCGAAACCAGGAAAAAAAGAAGCATGCGAGCACCACGCCGGGGCGAAGCGAGACCAAGCGTTATGATCCCGCACTTACGGGGACGCCGCGCCGCTGGAGTTTGGGGACCCGAGACTGGGGAGGGGGAGCTCCGTGGAGAAACTGACCTCGTCCCTCTCTCTCTCTCTCTCTCTCCTCCAGGGTTCCCGGGGCGTCCGCTCACCGACTTCCGATCCACCACCCTGGCACCGTTCACCGCCAGCCGGGTTTTGGCGTCTGGCCGGCGGAAGAGGGCGGGAGTGGGGTGGGGAAAAGGCCAGGCAGCAGAAGCTGGGACCGAGACCCGCTGAGGACCCGGGGAGCAAAAAAAAGGGGCAGTCCCGAACAAGCCGAGCCCGGGGTCAAGACCATCGCCGAGCCGGGCCACCAGAAGCCCGGCCGCGCCTCCCGTCCAGCCTCAGTCACTCAAGAGGAAGGGAGGGAGGGAGAGAGAGAACGGCCGCCTGCCTGCCTTCCCGCCGCGCCTTCTCTCGCACTCCCTTCCTTTACCTGGGAAAGGAGCAGCGCCCCGTAGGCGGAGGAAGAGAGAGCGGGGCGGGGCGTCCCTCGGTCGGAGGAAGCAGGTGGCGAGAGACGCCTCGGGTCCGCGGGGGTTGGAGGCTTCCTTTTTCTCTTCCGCTCCGTCCCCCGGGAGTGGCGCGACGCGGAGGCTGCGGTCCGGCTGCTTGGCTGCGAGGAAGTCCCGCCGAACTCGGAGCGGGGCCTCCCTCTCCGTCGGACCGGGCTCCTTGCGTCTAAAAGGCACGTCAGTGGCCGTGGGAGAGGGAGGGAAGGAAGGCCAGGGATCCTCCCCCGCCTGAAATCATCTCTGACAAACTACCCTCAGTCTAGGCAGTTTCTACACAAACACACACACCACGCACACCGCCTCAGGGAAAAGTCCTGTGGAAACCCTTGGCTTTGGGTGTCCTTTCGTAATCGCATAGGGTAGTTTCTGTTGAGGTATAATATTTGTATTCTGTTTTCTGGGGCGAAGTCTCTAGGCAGCTCTCCTTTAAAAAGAGATATTCAAAAAGCAGTTTGCCCACCACCTCATTCGGTTTCGGGCGGCGACGGCTGGGTCTCTTGTGACTTTAAAACAATGGCACGATCACGGGATGGTAGGTGACGGTTCCACGACGGCAGGTTTTGGGACGAAACAATAAAATAACGTTCCCCGTCTCTTATCAAGCTTGTATTATGGATAATATAAACGTGATGATTAAAACTTTTTGCAAAATAAAGTCGATCCCTTTCCAAGACCCCACTGTAATATAAACGTGGTGATTAAAACTTTTTGCAAAATAAAGTCGATCCCTTTCCATGCCCTCTTTCCCACTCCTCCCACATTACTGTATTATATAGGTTTGCCTTCTGCTTAAGGTCGAAGTTGGATACACACCACGGACGGAATCGCAGCCCGTGAAATGAACTCACTCGTCAGGTCAATGGAGACTTGATTTACATACTTTTTGACTTGAGGACCGCCTTGCAGTACGGATTAAGTTCTCAAGTCAAGACCCCACTGTAATATAAACGTGGTGATTAAAACTTTTTGCAAAATAAAGTCGATCCCTTTCCATGCCCTCTTTCCTACTCCTCCCACATTATTATATAGGTTTGCCTTCTGCCTAAGGTCGAATCGCAGCCCGTGAAATGAAAAGCGCTCACTCGTCTCTCTGCATGTAATTTCCCACTGAAAACTGGCAGGAGAGTAGGGAAAAAAATGGAAGTTTCTATTTAGCCCTTGACAAGCTTGAGAAAGAGGGCTATAGGTCCTGTGGGGCCATGTGATCGTGTACAAGAAACTTCTAGAGAAAAACAGACACAATTAGCAGAGTTTTCATGAGAATTAGTGTCTTCAATTGGATTGATTGCCAAATAAACACAGGCGGGATCGCAGCCCAAGTTTGAGAGGCTTGTGCACCAGGAACCTTGGAGGGGAAAGAAATTCAAGGTTAATGGCCCGGGACTCGTCCTCCACTAGCAGCTTGTTGACGAGAGAATACGCAAGACTGCAATTCTGGGTAGAAAAAAGTGCTTGGAAAGCAGGGGTCTCAAACTCAATTTACCTGGGGGCAGCTGGAGGCAGAGTCTGGGTGAGGCTGGGCCACATAAATTTTCTGCCAAGCGGAGCAAGAGCCCGAGGAAGCCACCCAGGAGTTTCCTTAGCCCAGCTGGAGCTCAGAGGAGGAGGAGGAGGGGCGCACGAGCCCTCGCCGCTGGCCACGACCCCCTCCAGCTCCTTCTTCACTACCACCACCACCAGCAGCAGGACGAAAAGGAGAAGGGAGGGAGTGCCAGCGACCGCCTAGCACCTAGGGCACGACATAATTTTTTTAAAAAAACCCACACAGAATTCTCTTTGCCAAAGGAGAAGAGCCCCAATCGGTACCTGTGAAATGAAACAGAACAGGGTGGAGGCACCCACAGGTGCGCGCATGCACCCAAACACACACACACACACACACACATGGAGGTCTGGCAACCTTCCTCTGAAGGGCCCCCCTCAAAAAAGGCGCACTCAGCAGCAGCAGCAGCTACCCCGACCACGACAGAGTAAACTTTGCAAGGCGAGCCCAGGCAGCCTCCAGAGCGGAGGTCGCTG